ATATTACGCTTTCGAGACCTCTACTCTAAATCTACTTGTATACATTTACGAAACAGTGCTTGTCTCTTAAAATTATGAAAGGCGGGTCACTAATTAAAATTTAGCGCCAAACGCCACGAGTTAATTATCTTTGCGTTTTTTTTTTCCTAATGGGACTGACATATTTCAAAACTATAGATAAGATGCTACAATATTATACTAAAAAAATTCCAAAAAGAAAAGTTGACAATTTCGATTTTTTTTATCACTTCCTGTGACAACCGAAAGAGACGGCGGACAATCTTATCCCAGATGGATTTGCCTATTCATCAAGATCTACCATTCCTACAAGTTCAGGTATATGCATTTTATGTAATGTGTTTTAGAATCGAGAAAGTCAATCTAAAGATATTTGCATTTAAAATCTAAAAGCTGTGTTTTCAATGGCAGAATGGTTAACGCGTTGGATTATCACGAGAGCAACCCGGGTTCTCTCCCCCGAATGTCCTGGTTTTTTTAATCACTTTTTCTGCTAGATTTTTTGTATTTTATTTCAGAATCGGACGGAAGACCTCTCGTTGCTCGCAACGAGATCGTTCTAGTTTTATTATTATTATTTTAGGAGCGAAATGCTTCATATTTTTGTTTAATATCCGAAAACAAGCTTTGATTTTTAATATCGCCGAAAAATTGTGGAATTTACTTTCGTAGCTTAATTTTTACCGAAATTTTAATTTAATCTCAGATTTATGCGAAACTTCATGATTCGTAAATTTACGTTCTATACTGAGCATCAGAAACCAAAAAAAAAAATGTTGAATTCAGCGTTATTAAAAGATAATAAGGCTTGATCTCCGTAACCTTCCCTTAAAATCATTAAATATAAAATTGTTATAAAAATTTAACGATGCCAGATTTGTGGACACTTTTTTTTTCAAGTTCACTGATATGTCCTTCAGAGAATTATATGTTATTCATTTTGTTTTTGAGACAATTATTTTGTTCATGTCTAATATCTTGAATTGGTCCATTATTGTTGAACGACTAATACGCTTTTATTTTCATGTTCCTGACAGAAATCATTTATAAACAGTTTTATGGCCAGTGTAGTGACTATGCTTTCTGTAAAAGTGAATTTCATTGAGAAGACAATTGGAAAATTCATCGGGTTTTCTGTCTTTAATACATCTTAAATAGAAATTTTCAACTATGAAAAGTTAATGTCTCAGTATTAATTACAATGTATGATATACAGTACAGGCAACGCGGGTCCCGTATTTCCCGCGCCCCGTCGCGGTATAATCACAACGCGGTATTTAGCCAGATGAGACAGGTAAACCGCGTTCCCTCCGCGGGAATCTCATCACCTAACTGTCCCCGCCGCGGTTAAATCATCGATCGATTACTGACAATTAGTATCGTAAACAAACGGGAGTTATCTCCCCGAATTTTAGTTTGCGTATTTCCCATGTAACAAAAAAAAAAAAAAAATAAATAAAAAAAAAATAACGACACTGTATGTTTATTAAAAGAAGTATTTTCATTTATTTTGCAATGATGAATAGAAATTAAACTAAGAAAAAAATATATTTATTTTTGTTTCTAAAATTATATATCAATATTTAAATTAGAATTAAAACTTTTATTGAATTGATGAATTTTTTGCGTTATTGAGAGTCTAACAAGAAAACTAGAAATATTAGGTTTTTTTTTTATTTATTCATATTATATGCGAATTTTAATACTGCTGAACTCAGACAGTGTGAGTTTCGATAAACGATTTTCATGCAGCATTCATTTGAAAAGAAAAATGTACAATTGATCTTTGAAAAAAAAATGTACATCCTCATATTGATTATATTCTTTCCCCAAATTTAGAACACTTAATTTAATTAATTTCGCTTTATTGTATAAATGTGCAGGCATTTTTCTTAAAGTGTCAAATACCGGGAAACATTCGATGGCGATAGTTTGCAGTTACATGTAGTGGGACGTGAACTTAAATTTTCTTTATGCAAGATATCAAGAAAAAATTCTTTTCTTCTTTTTTTTTCTCATTGTTTGTTCTTTTCCCAAATTTAGAACACTTTTTAAAAATTTATTTCGCTTTATTATATAATTGTGCAGGCATTTTTCTCAAAGTGTCAAGTTACCGGTAAGCATGAATTTTATTTCGGTGGCGAGAGTTCACTTTGCAGTTACACGTGAACTTTATACGATATCAAGAAAAAATTTCGCTTCTTCACCTTCATATTTACGTGTTTCTTTTGTAAACAATATGTCTTTCTTTTTAATTTTAATATTTTTCCATTTTCATGTGCAATAACATAAGATAGGATGTGCAGGTACGGTGGCAAACTTCACAGAACAAATTAAATTAAAGAAGGGGGATGTATTACACTTAAGTTTTTAATAATATTCAATGAATAAAATAATCAAATACTTTCGATTTCTTTGACAATTTCTTTTTCTTTGTGTAATAATTATTAGCCGCGATCATTTCCTGTGTATAGAGATTAGTAGTCCCAGCACAGGAAACGGCATTCCCTGGGGCTTTCACACCTGTCCTAGAGTACCTTGAGTAACTCTCTCTGAATGTGCACGTCGTTGTCTAGCCTTTCAACACAGCATTTGATTCAAGGTTTCATTAATTCTTCGATATCATTTTCAAATCAGATAACAGCCTTGAAATTTTAGACAATATAGTGTTGCTTTTTTAACTGAGTGTAAAAAAACAGCCAAACTTTTAAAACAAATTACAGTGTAATAATTATAGTATTTGAAATAATTAAATCAAATAACGATTCATTACTATTTTATTACGTGTCTGTTTACACCTGTACCAGTTAGTAGATTACGAGAGAGAGAGAGAGAAAACATTACAATATCAACTTGAGGCACGTGCAAGATCGTTTTTCCTCGTTTTGATCAGTATAAATATTATTGATTTCTCAAGTCTATTGAATGAAACTAAACTAAACATGATATAATTTTAATGAAATTGATAATGGATCAGACTTTGTAAAATTCCATAATAACCGTTGCCATGAACAGATACATCTACAGTCATGTAGATCTTGCTGTCGCTGATTTATCAGTTTATTGACCATTTGTGAATTCTGTCGAATTACCTGTACATGTCATATGCGAGTTTAAGGAAAACACAAGAACAATTATAGCTAAACACCCAATATTTAACTAAACTAACAGGTAAGTATTGCAGGCGTCTTCAAATTGGTACAACTACTCAGTACACAGAATATAAAAGAATTATGTAATTTAGGAAAATTTTTGCAATTAGTGAATGCCTCAAGAACAGCACCTTTATCAATTTTATAGATTATCAGAAATATTATATGCTTTGTTTCAATTTCAATTCTTTATTCGCTCAAAACCAGATCACTGGTACAAGAGGTACATATATACATATATACAAACAAAAAATGACGGTCAAGGGTCAATAAATAGACATGTATATAAAGAAACAAGAAAAGAGTGAGTAAAAACATGTAGTCATGTATATGTACAAGTACGTTGTATGTTTATTCCATTATTACACGTGTTAAGATGTATGTTTATTTCATTATCATCATCATCTATGAGATGTATGTCTCTCGACTTCAATAAAACTGAATCTCGTTAAGGGTATAGACCAGTTACACAGACACCTGAAAACTTGAAGCATGACAACTTGCATTTATATAATGCATATTTTAATGACCCTCGAGATGGATTTATTGACCATTTAAAACAAAAGAAAAAAAAATGAAATCAATTTAAGATTTTGGCAAACCTTCATTTGCTGAAATATTTTATTGTATGCTCTATGCATAAAAGAATTCCAGTTAAAGTTTTCTGCGTATTCTATTTATATATCTTTGTCATGAAAAAAGTTTAAATCTTAGGTAACAAACCTGTAACAGGACATTTTTCTATTCATTTGCCGTGTCGATTAGATTTAAACTTAGATTTTAAATGGGTCAAGGATTACAGTCTAAAAATGTGTATAGTGTGATAAAAGTGTTGTTAATGAACATATTTAAACATAATAGCTGCATCCTCCATAATCCATAGCATCATATTAATAAATCACATACGTGTTTAGGCGAAATATCACAACTAGAAAAAAATAATATACAGTCATCACGATGCACATTTTTGCGTTTTATTTTAAAATCCGAGTATCTTTGGAGGAACAAAAATATTAAGAATTTTTAGGTCAAAACCCATTATACCAAAACATTAATATGTACAACATCAATAAAAAAATTGTTGGTTTGATAAAAAAAAATTACATGTTGTATAAGGAAGTCAAAACTCGGAACCTTTGAAATTCAAGTTAATAATTACAGCGAAAACTTATTACATAATTACGTATTAAACTATACTTACTGTTACGATCCTCTAATATTATTTATAGATATTGCGTCACTATAGCTATTATTTTTATTGTGTGACGTCACGTTCCCTTTCGGAAGTTCTCGGATGTCGCGAATACAGCCGAGGAACACCAGCACGCGATCGTCTGCGACACAGGATTCAAGAGACTTTAGACACTTGGCACGGGAATAATGGACTTTTCATACTTCATAATTCGGCTTGGGCTTTGGGCTAACCGTGGAAGTATTGTCGTGTAGATAGCGATCGGTGTCCGTGGAGCTGGAGGACTTCCTTTTTGATTAACAGCTGAGTAAATTCTGTCCGCTATTATTGTTTACCTTTTTGTGTGTGTGTAACTGTATTTGTATGTGTTAATTTAGTATGATTATTTGTCTTTACCATTAAAATTTGTTAAAGTTTTTAATTCATTTTGGTTGGTGTGTTTTTTGTAAGTGTGTCACAGCGAGCTATAAATAGATTTGTGTATTCGGCACACGTTACAAATTGGGGGCTCGTCCGGGATCATCGAACTTTTGGCTTTCTGTGGGTAATTTTTTAAAAAAAAAACGATATCTCGGAGATTTTGAACACAAAATTATTTCATTTTGGAATTTATTTCATTATTATACACACCAGTCAAGATGGTTTTTAACTTGGAGGATTTTTTGAATGCACCAGATGCGCGGTTACTTCAAACACTTAAGAAAGATGAATTGTTTGAATTTGTGTCAAAATTTCACTTGAATGTAAAGCGCAGTGCTCGGAAAATAGAAATAAAAAATGCTGTGATTCATTATTTAGTTCAGAGAGGTATTTTGGATGATAGTGCATTGTCATTGGTTGAAAATTTGAAATCTAGTGAAATTGAAAAAAGAAATTTTGAATATGAATTAGAGTTCAAGAAGTTAGAAATTGAACAGGAGAGAGAAAGGCAGGCATTTGAAAGAGAAAAGAGAGAATATGAAAAAGAAAAGAGTGCGCAAGATCGAGAACATGAGTTACAGATTAAGAAATTAGAATTCGAGACTCAAAAGATAAAACATGAGTTGGAACTTGAGGCTAAGGCTAAATCAAAATCTGACTTTGATGTGACAAAGAACATAAGACTTGTCCCTAAGTTTCAAGAGAAAGATGTTGACAAATATTTTATTCATTTTGAGAAAATTGCAGAAAATTTGAAATGGCCAAAAGAATTCTGGCCACTATTGTTGCAGAGTGCATTTGTTGGCAAAGCTAGGGAAGTTTACAGTGCATTGTCACTTCAGCAAAGTACAGATTATGATGTTATTAAGAAAAATGTCTTAAAAGCATATGAACTTGTACCAGAAGCCTATAGACAGAAATTTAGAAATTACAAGAAATTCAATGAACAGACTCATGTTGAATTTGCGAGAGAGAAACAAAATATGTTTGAGAGATGGTGCACTTCTAAAAATGTTGGATCAAACTTTGAAAGGTTGAAACAGGTCATTTTGATTGAGGAATTCAAAAATTGTATTCATCCTGAAATTAGAACCTATTTGGATGAGCAGAAGGTTGAGACTCTTGAGCAAGCTGCGACTGCGGCTGATGATTATGCACTAACACATAAGGTATCTTTTGTAAAACTCAGTACTAGTCAACAGAAGATGACCAGCTATGACAGTTCTCGAGGGGGACCAGACACTTCACAGGTAATTCAACCTAAGATGGCGTACTCTGAAATCAAAGGTAGGGACAAGAATAATGAAACCTTAAAGCAGGTACCCATTTGTAATTATTGTAAAAAGAAGGGTCACATTAAGTCTGAATGTTGGGCATTACAGAGGAAAAAACCTGTAAGTAATGATAGTAAGCCAAGTCCCACTGCTCTTACATCTGTCCAAGGTAAGGTTTCCTGTAGTCAGTTTGAGAACACTGCTGTTAAGTCTGTCGAGCCAGAGTCTGATGTTCTTAGAGAGGAATTTAAGCCTTTTGTATTCAATGGTTTAGTGTCGGTGGGTACCGACTCACACCCTATAAGAATTTTAAGGGATACAGGTGCTTCTCAGTCTTTGTTACTAGAGGGCGTGTTGCCACTGTCTGAGAAGACACATACTGGTTCTGAAGTGTTGATTCAGGGTGTAGAATTAGGAATTGTGAAAGTTCCTCTTCATGTTATAGACTTGAAGTCAGATTTAGTCTCTGGGTCTGTGGTCGTAGGTGTTAGACCTACTTTACCTATTAAGGGAGTTTCTCTTCTGTTAGGTAATGATTTAGCTGGGGGTAGGGTGGTACCTGACCCAATCATTTGTGAAAAGCCTAGTCTTACAGGAGAGGTAGAGGAGGAGAATAAAGAGTTATTTCCTTCATGTGCTATTACAAGGGCTATGGCTAAGAAACTAGGACATGCTGAACAGACGGTAAGTCAGAAGTTAGATACAGGAAAGGACTTGTCTATAGATCTTGATGAGACATTTTTGTCAGCTATGTTAGATTCAGAAAGTCACATTTCCTCAGAGGATCAGCAGTCTAAAGGTGATGTATTTGGTTTACAGGAAATGTTAGACAACACACCTCTTACTAGAGATAAGTTGATATCTGAACAAGAGTCAGATGTTGAATTACAAGGTCTCATTGAACAGGCTTTGTCTCCAGAGGAGGCAGAGAAGGTCCCTGTTTGTTATTATAAGAATCAGGGTGTACTCATGAGAAAATGGCGTCCCCCTGATGCTTCAGTAGAGGATGAGTGGCAAATCCACCATCAAATTGTAGTACCTAGGGTATATCGGAGAACAGTCGTAGGGCTTGCCCATGACACACCAATGTCGGGTCATTTGGGGGTCACAAAGACCTACCGTAAGGCATTGACCCACTTCTTCTGGCCTAAGATGAGAAGGGATATAGTCGACTATTGCAGATCATGTCATGTCTGCCAAGTAGTGGGAAAACCTAATCAAAAAATCTCTCCTGCTGCTTTAAAGCCTATCCCTGCTTTTGATGAACCATTTACTAAGGTCATTATAGATTGTGTGGGTCCCTTACCTAAAACCAAAGCTGGTAATCAGTACTTGTTGACAATAATGTGTGCGTCGACACGCTTCCCTGAAGCAATTCCACTGCGAAACATAAAGTCTAGAACCATTGTCAATGCTTTGACCAAGTTTTTCACCAATTTTGGTTTGCCTCAGTCAGTACAGTCTGATCAAGGTTCCAATTTCACATCCCAGGTCTTTAAACAGGTAATGCAGGAGTTAGGGGTTAAGCACCATACATCCAGTGCATACCATCCAGAGTCCCAGGGGGCTCTTGAGAGGTTTCATCAAACCTTGAAAACTATGATTCGAACCTATTGTTTGTCGAATGAGAAAGAGTGGGATCAGGGAATCCCCTTCCTTTTATTTGCTGTTAGGGATGCAAAACAAGAATCACTGGGTTTTAGTCCATTTGAACTTGTATATGGTCACACTGTGAGAGGACCATTGAAATTGCTCAAAGAGAAATGGTTGGTTGAAGAGAGTGAGACAAATCTATTAGATTATATAGTTAAGTTCAAAGAGAGGCTCAGTCAGACTTGGACGCTAGCCAGAGAGAATCTAAAGGTAAGTCAAGACAAAATGAAAACCTGGTATGACAAACGTACCAAAACAAGAACATTTAAGTCGGGAGACAAAGTCCTTGTCTTGTTACCAATTCCAGGTCAGCCTTTACGTGCTAAATACTTTGGCCCATTTGAAGTTGAAAGAAAGGTGAATGACTTGAATTACATTATTAAGACACCAGGTCGAAGCAAGAGCAAACAGCTCTGTCACATCAACATGATCAAGCAGTATCATAACCGAACTGACATAGATCACCCCAAGGTAGAATCAGTTGCTGCTTCAAACACTGAAGTTAAGTCTACCCCAGAACAAGACAAACTTGCACATGAGTATGATCAGTCTACTCCTAAGTTGAAAAACTCTGATGTTTTGTCAGACTTAGAGTCTAAACTTAACCACTTACAAGAGAATGAAAAGAAGAGCTTATGTCTCTTATACAAGAATTTACACATTTATTCCCGGATGTTCCTAAAAAGACCAATCTTGTATATCATGATATAGATGTTGGGGATGCATCTCCCATTAAACAACATCCTTACAGAATGAACCCTGTTAAACAAGAACACTGTCATGCAGAACTGGCTTATATGTTGGAACATGACATCATTGAGTACAGTAACAGCCCTTGGAGCTCCCCTTGTCTCCTTGTTCCCAAGCCAGATGGGTCATTTAGATTCTGTACAGATTTCCGCAAGGTCAACACAATTACCAAAACTGACTCTTACCCGATTCCCAGAATTGAAGACTGCATCGATAAAATTGGTCATGCCAAATATGTAAGTAAATTCGATCTTTTGAAAGGGTATTGGCAGGTCCCATTGACCGAGCGAGCGAAAGAGATTTCAGCCTTCGTTACCCCAAAAGGTTTCTACCAATATAAGGTGATGCCTTTTGGGTTAAAAAATGCCCCTGCAACCTTTCAAAGGATGATCAATCATTTACTTAGTGATGTAGATGCCAGTGAGGCATACATTGATGATGTGATAGTGTATAGTAATACTTTTCAGGAGCATTTGTCAAACATCAGGGCATTATTTGTTAAACTTTCAGAGGCAAATTTGACTGTAAGCCTTACAAAAACAGAATTTTGCCATGCTGTAGTTGAATATTTAGGCCATGTTGTTGGTAACGGCCATGTCAGACCAGTTTTTGCTAAAGTTGAGGCAATTGTTAATTTTCCAGTACCTCAGTGTAAGAAAGAACTGATGAGATTCTTGGGAATGGCGGGGTACTATAGAAAATTTTGCCCGAACTTTTCGACCATTGCTAACCCATTGACCTGTCTCTTGAAAAAGAATAGCAAATTTATTTGGGATGAATCATGCCAACAGGCCTTCCAACAAATCAAAACGATTCTCATGGTCTCTCCAGTTCTTTCATCACCAGATTTTGATAAAGAATTTTTGTTGCAAATTGATGCTAGTGATGTGGGTTGTGGGGCAGTTTTGTTACAAGAAGATGAAAATTGTGTTTGTCATCCTGTTGCTTATTTTTCCAAAAAGTTTTCCAAATGTCAAAAAAATTATTCAACTGTAGAAAAAGAGTGTTTGTCCATGTTATTAGCTTTGCAACATTTTGATGTGTATGTGAATTCATGTGTACATCCAGTTGTTGTTTTCACTGACCACAATCCACTCACATTTGTTCACAAAATGAAAAACAAGAATCAAAGGCTTATGAGATGGAGTTTGGAATTACAAGAGAAAAATATTGTCATTAAACATATTAAGGGAAAAGAAAATTTAATTGCAGATGCTTTGTCAAGAGTACACGTTGATTAAAATGTAATTGTTGTTTTATTGAAGTGTATGTAAATTTTGTAAAATCATATCTTTTCATTGTCATTGTAAAAGTTTTCATTATACTCAAACTTTTCTTTAAGGGGGGAGGTGTTACGATCCTCTAATATTATTTATAGATATTGCGTCACTATAGCTATTATTTTTATTGTGTGACGTCACGTTCCCTTTCGGAAGTTCTCGGATGTCGCGAATACAGCCGAGGAACACCAGCACGCGATCGTCTGCGACACAGGATTCAAGAGACTTTAGACACTTGGCACGGGAATAATGGACTTTTCATACTTCATAATTCGGCTTGGGCTTTGGGCTAACCGTGGAAGTATTGTCGTGTAGATAGCGATCGGTGTCCGTGGAGCTGGAGGACTTCCTTTTTGATTAACAGCTGAGTAAATTCTGTCCGCTATTATTGTTTACCTTTTTGTGTGTGTGTAACTGTATTTGTATGTGTTAATTTAGTATGATTATTTGTCTTTACCATTAAAATTTGTTAAAGTTTTTAATTCATTTTGGTTGGTGTGTTTTTTGTAAGTGTGTCACAGCGAGCTATAAATAGATTTGTGTATTCGGCACACGTTACATTACATTTGCTTTCCGAATAAACTCATCGATCTCGATTATCACAAGTAGCAACAGAAAACACGAATAATGTGTACAATAGTCTCCTCTGTTCAAAAGAAATAACATTTGTCGATCAAGGACGCATGACGTAATTTGCGCGTGCGTATTTAAAGAACTAACAATTTACATAGGCGCTTGGGATATGGCCCCCCCCCTTTCCAATTTTTTTTCTTTTTGGGAGTTGAACTATGTTCAATCTCCCATGGTCATCACGTATTTAACATGCGCAGTAATTTGTGTTGATTACATAGAGACGAAAGCGAGGCTACTGTGTCGGCTGATTTACTCCGATGATATTCAATAGAAAACATGCATAAACATCCGTGACAAATAGTTCGTGTCATTTTCTCCTGAATTATTCTTATTTTCATATTGTAAGTAAATGTAATGATAAAGTAATCTTATTTTGAATATTAGACTTCGTTCAAAGTACATATGGTAAACTAAATTATACAGAACCATGAAAGTTTTTCGTAATGGAACTCATTTTTAGTGTAGCGTCATACACTGAAAGAGATACGAATGACAGCTCTACATACTGGCGGCAAACGTTAAATTTAGTCTTATTCAAACTTTTCATGAACATTTTCTTGGTTTAATTGAATTCGTTAATGCATAAAAACTCTAGGAAACATGCGTATTTACTACTTAATCAGCAGTATCACCTGCCAAAAGCGGTAAAACTAGTACTCTGTTATAAATATTAAAACCAAAAACGGACACCGGTGTTTTCGTAAAATCGCGATTAAAAACAACAAAATGAAGAATATTTTTTTTTTAATAAAAGGAAAACCTCATTTACAAACCACATAATTTGTACGCACACAAACTCTCACGTACTCGTATACCACTGTTTTTATGTTTTGTCAATAAATATTTGTTTTTAACTTGGTATTGCTCTTTTCCTCACTATATAAAAAAAGATTAAGGTCTGACGTACTCCATGTATAATTTTCGTGTAATTGAAATACATTTTTATTCACAGAGAAGTTTTATATAACAAACCTGTTAGATCTTAAAAGGATGCTGTGTTAAAATCCACATTTTATCAACCTTGATATTATTTCTGCGAAACTGAAATTTTCATAACACAGGGATAAAGGTGAAAAGGAAAATATATTGCAAATTTGAAGACTGTGAGCAGTGATATAAATGATCAACCGCCTCTAATATGAATATAATGGCAGTGTGCATGTTTTGCAATAGGAAACCCAAAATATGTGTAGGATGAAAAAGTAAAAGAAGCACAACGGCAATATGTAATAAAGATTCTATGAAAATTTTGTTCAGTGGTGTTGCGGATGAGAGATGGGTATACCTAAAGTGTAACAAACAGATGGACGGAAATCACGATTAATAAATTCCCTCCCGCTTTTCAAGCAGGGGGTATAAAAAGGACTAATGTAGACAGGCAAGCATTATGGCCCATGCATATTTTTGCTATTCAATGCCTCTGAATGTCTTTCTCGATCAAGATTGTTCCAACTCAAAAAATGTGAAACATTTGTCTGTATTTGAAAAAAACAGACATAATATACATTTATTGCATGATAGTGAGGGAAATATGAAGACTTATTCAGCCAAGAAAAATCATAAGACAATGTGATATTTCTTGGCTGAATGAATATTCATGTTTCCCGAACATTCATGCAATGAACATTCATGCAATGAATTGTTTATTATACCGAAACAAGCAAAACCTCTGAAATAAACATAAACTTTCAAATTCGGCACCGCTCTCCAATTCACGCCATTGTTAACGTAAAGTTACTATAAAACCCTGTGGACAAAACATTGTCATCAGTTTTGTGACGTAAAGCAGGCTATTGTGACGTCTACTACTCTTCGGAGTTTTCGTTCAATGAACGAGAACTACATTGCGGGAAAATTCACTAGGTGTTCCGAAGAGGTGGAATATGATGAAAAGCGTGCCGACGACGGGAAATATGAAGTTTTACGGCCCGATCACGTGATAACCTAGAACCAATCAGATAACGCGTTGTGTAGAATATTTATAATGAGGTATAATAATAATAATTAATACATGTAATATTGTTCATTCACTAAACCTCCCGATCAAAGATTTTATTTACACCATGTTCAACTCCCATGAGTGCTTTCAGTACTTTGATTTAATCTGGGGTTGAATCACCTTTTTCCTATTTTACTATTCTCATATGCACTATATGCTATCAATAATGTAACTCTTTTGTCTCTACAAGCTGTTTTTAAATACGTCGTTTTCGACTGATACATATAAAGAGAGAAGGTTAGCAACTCTTTTTTCACCATCCGCCTCACCTCGCTTCAACTTCGCGTGATTATTTATCTTAAGCAGAATAAAACATGGAATATCCATTTATCAGTAAATTTGTTATACATTCCTCTTCCTGTTCACATTTCCATTTAATTTTTATGTGCCCCCGATTTGTAAATATTTCGATGAAATCTCTCGCATCTGATGTGCACCAACTGGGAGCAGAAGGATAAAACGTACGCTCAACTAGGATCTGAGGTCCCCTGCTCAGTTCACGACTATCGGACCTGTTTACTCCGCTACAAAATGTAGTGCATTGCATTCGTATTTGTGAAAATAGAATAAATCGTTATACATTGAAGACTTAACAGTGTCAAATAAAACCCAGAAAATTTATTTTTGTCAAAGGAATAACCATTTGATGGGTATTAGAAAAGAAAGAGGGGGTGCTGAGCAACATAACTGCAATATAATGATAATTATATTGTTATTATTATATTATAAAAGAATTTAACATTTATGGATTATGTTGGGTGACCTGTGGTCTCCCCTATGATTTTATTGTTCCATGTAAGGTTATAGTATCTATATAACAAAGTGCCTAATCTCTGATCTCCTTACTAATAGTAAGTAACTCAGAGTAAAAGATGCCCAGTCTCTGCATTCGCCGATCTCTAACAAGCAGGGGGAGGATAAAGAGCTTGCCCCCTACCACGTCCTACCGACTGCGTATTCATTTCGCTCGGACTATACACCAATCCTTTAACATAATGGAATAATTATTTGTTAATAAATTATTTAATGTCTCCTATGTCTTCCTTATG